AAATTTTAGTTATTTTAGTGCATCTTTGTTAAAAAGAAATAGGCCTTTTTCGACAGATTTTTTTATTTGTAATAATGTTTTGAATAGAAAAATTTGTGATAGCCCTCACCTTGAATTTATTTCAACAATACACACTCCAAGACCTGTATTACTTCTATTGTACACAGCTAGTTTTTGAGGTTGTTTCTTTAGTTACAAGTACATGCAAAATGCTGATACTGTGATATTCTTCATGTAGGTACATTTGCCATTTGGACCCATCTCAGCAAGGAACACTAAAGGTTCAGTGATGTTACCCACGGCAGAGGAGTTTGTCAGTTTGAGGAAGCGGCAGACGACAGAGGCGTTTGAACTGAAGTATGGCAGTGGTGTTGGTGGTGAGACTTTTACTTTGTAAGAAATTTACTTAATAATAGTATTATTTTTGCAGATATTTATTTTCAGATCTAAAGTAATTCCATGCAGTGTTAATTTAGTGGGTAAATTTTCTTGATGATTCCAGCTGATAATTTGGTCCTACAAGATCAACCTCCAGTACATGCCATGTAACCCCTACACTTTGCAACAGAAAGTTTGTTGATGTTACTTGAAGATTTGAATTGACCAGTGTTCATAAAGTTTCAGTTAATATAAAAATTAACGTCCATATTCTATTTGGTCGAGATAAATGATCAGTCAGGTTATTATGGGTTGAGTTATTTCATCATTTCATTCCCTATATTTCAGATCCAGGGTGGGACCTCACTATCCAGTCACTGACAGCTGCTGGGATTGTGTTTGAATTTCTGACAACTGTGGCTAGGAATCCAGTATGTTCAACTCTGAGTAATGTATTATGGGATAAATGGGGAGATTTGAGGGTTGTGTTTGGGTGTATGTGAGTGAGGTAAGAGGGGGATGGGTATCACTGCTTGTTAGAGTTAAGTTAAATTTGTTTTGTGTAAATTTTGACAGTTCTATTTGTGGATGTAAGGAGGGAGTTTTACATACCTCATTGCTCCCCCCCCCCCATTCCAATTTCACTGAGAGAATATGGCAATAAGATAAACCACTCAATTTTAATTAGATTTTAAAATATAGTACTGTATTGATAAATTGTTTTAAGTCAAAATAATATCACTGATTACATCACATAGACATCAATATTCTCTCTCTTCTTTACAAATTTTAAAGCAGATTTTTTTTTGTTTTTAATATGGAGGGGGGGTGTTAACCCTTAAGACTGATTCATCATTCTCACATCTGTGGAGGTTTGAAACCTGTGCCCTCTGAATACAGTTATATTCATTTTACATCTCGGAAGTAGTGTGGATTTGACCTTTGCTCAAACTTTATTTCCATTTGTTTTAGCTGAAACTGGAGTTTAGTCAGAAGTCAGAAGTTGCCACAAAAGGAGGGACATTTGTGATGTACAATTATGCCAGACTGGCTACTCTCATGGCTCACTTCGATGAAGCAGTGGTCAAAGGTATCAGTGATCTGCCTCAAGACTGACCAATGTTTTTTTTTTTTTTTTTTTTGTACACTTTCCCATTTCTTCTTAGATTGGCTGCCTTTCGAGGACCCAGTAGGTATAAGGCCTGAAAATCTGTTTCTTTTGTTTTTCAGGAATGTTTCCACCACTACCAGAGTGTTCGCAGCTGGACTTCTCTGCACTCAGAGAAGAGGTAGGTGTTGCTGGTTCATTTATTGCTTTCTTATTAAAATACCATTAAAACTCATTTAAACCTGCAAGTTTCTGGTCATAAATTTGACTTTCTTATTTTCCCTCCAGTATGTAAAACACGGGAGAAAGCAGAAAATACCTTTGCAAATATCATCAAAATTTATTGGGAATATAGCTATACTGTTTGCAAGTCCATGGTGGCCTCTGGCCATGTTTAGCAGCAATAGTTTGACATATCAAGAACTCACTTGATACACATCTTTAATACAGTTAGTGATTGGTACTCTTTATACCCAATGCCAACTAATTTCCAAATAATTTGCGCTGATTTTATGGACTGTTCTTAAAACACATGCAGTAAACATGTTAAGTCACTGCCAATTCCTTGTCTTATTCTTCAGGAGGAATGGTTGCTTCTCTTCAATTACATTCTGCCATTTCCGAGTCTTGTGGAGGATTGTGTGGGGCCATTTCACCCTGGGGATCCTGGGGCAAAAATAGACACACACAAGGTATGTGGCTTACTTTATGTGNAATGGTTGCTTCTCTTCAATTACATTCTGCCATTTCCGAGTCTTGTGGAGGATTGTGTGGGGCCATTTCACCCTGGGGATCCTGGGGCAAAAATAGACACACACAAGGTATGTGGCTTACTTTATGTGTTGGTGCATCACGTTTGTGTGGGACCAATTCACAGTGGGGTTCTCAGGGCAAAACTAGATCAACATTTGTATTTGGCCTTGACCCACTACATGTCATGGCACACAAGAATGTCAGTCAGTTAGTTCATACTCATCATGGGAATTTGTTTTTCAGATTTAACTTACTGTTTTTATTTTTTGTTGATTTAATCTAGCATGTTAAAAAAACAGAGTTATCTCCAAAAAGAATGCCAGATTATTTTATGCTTCTTTCTAGATTTGGAAGCAATGGGCTTTGTAGTAAACTACCACAAAGCTTCTTGTTTTGAGACAAGCTTTTATCAACTTGAAATATAATAATTATATACTTGGGAATTGATATTTTAATGTGTTTGAATTGTTTAATTAACAGTATAGGTGTAGTTTAGATATAAAGCTTCTGTTTTGATATGAGGAATCCTGCTGAATATTTTGTTTTTTCTACAAATTTTAGGTTTGTAATTTTCTCCTCAACTTGAGCAGGGATCTCAGCTCCTACTATGGCAGAGTCCATGTCCTTGGGGTATGTTTACTTTGAGTTGACTGTGTATGTCTACTCATTGTGCTAAATAAAATAACACATTCAAAGAAAATTTAGTCACAATGCAGTCTCAAAGTGGATTCTGTTAGTATTTTGGAAGACATGAGCCAAAAGTTTTAGACTGTGTTCAATGGTGGCTTTTAATGTTGTAAAGAATTGTAAGTACAGTTATTTTGTCTTAGTTTGACCAATTCAAACATATTGACATAGAAAATTGCAATTTTTATATATTTTAAATTAGTATCTTTTATCACAGGCAGAGCCATATAAAATTGAAAAAAAAATTTTTTTGGAAATTTCAGGAGCCATTCCCTCACCTCCTTCCCACCATGTATTGCAGACTACATCTATTAAAGGGAGTGCAATATGTTATGTCCAGTGCCTTTAGACTGCTAGGCATTCAACCTCTAACTCAGATGTAAAGCATGTCCAGCAGCAAGTGACCATCACCAAAATTTTGGATTTTTCACTTAGGGCCCCTTTACACTGGACGGCGTCCTTTCTGCGTCCAGCAGTACGGTCCCATTTGAGAGTTAAAAAATAATAATAATTTACGTGCCGACAACTGGCCGATCATTGAGCATTCATTCTGATACAAAATCAATGCTCGTGTCTCCTTATTGAGACCACAGCGATGCCAAATTTCATGGTCGCAGAAAGGACGCCGTCCAGTGTAAAGGGGGTATTACTGTTACCCCAATCTTCTCTGGTGAATGCCAACTTTATCTTGGAATTTCTACTTAGTCTGGGGCATTTTTGAGCTGGCATACATGTGGGACATGTGTTAGAAGTTACCATCGCCTAGTTTGGGATCATTGAGTTTAGATCACCACAAACTTCAGTTCTTATGCCAGCTCATTTTCAAAACTCCACATCAACTAGGCAAAAGTGGATGTGGAATATGTATGCATTTTAAAGGTAAATGTGGAAATCTGAAAATATACGATATATATACAAACTATATTTATGGATATGAATTGCATATTGTATTTAATTCATAAGAACATTACTTCTGATGGTCAACATGACATTTTTGACAATAAAAAAGAACAAAAGCTGTTTGTGTTTCTATGGGTATGTTTGCTTTTTATTCTAATTCACTCCATTGCACATTATTATCCCCAACATAATATCTTCACAATTCAAGCTCACATATGAGATGCCTTATTCATATCTACAAACCTGAACATTTTGTCAAAAAATACCCCCCCCCCTCAAAATAATAAATAAATAAAGTAAAAAAAAAAAAGCTGTACACACTCAAACAATCTGTATGTTTGAATCTATTTTCTTCACAAAAAGGCACATTCTTCAGGTCACTTTTTAAATCCCAACCAATCTAATAAAGAAAAGCATGTACAAATGTCTTCTTGAAATCACAATGCATTCGTTCTATTTCACCTCTATTAGCTTCATATGCCTTCCCACCGACAGCTTCTATGTAGAGAGAGAGAAAGGGGGAATTTCTTTCTCAAATCTCACTGATGCTTTAATGCCACTTTGCCTTTCAAGATGTAATTGCCATTTTTGGATGTAAATTAGCATCAAGTTGTTGCTGATCTAGAACCTAGACAAAAAGAGATCGAAGGCCTAAAAATTAAGACTGATCTTTTTAGAAAAAAAAAAAGTCTGCGAAATAAGAAGCTGGGTAGGAGGCATTTTTGAATTTGTCGTTTACCCCCCTGTGCCAAGTGCGATCTTGAAAACTCAAAGGGGATGCTATTCAGAAATAAGAATAACAGAAAAAAGGAAAACAGAATTATCTGGTAACATGAACAGGTGGGAATATCTCACCTAAGGGTATTAGAAGACGGCGAATCATTTCAAAAATATTATGCTACTGTACTTGCAAAAATTCCCAATTAATTCAAAACTGTTACAACAAAACAACACATATAGAAATTTTGCTCGTAAAAAGAAAGACTAGAACCAAAACCTAACAGAAAGCATCTATGACTCATTTGAAGGCTTTCAATATTTTTTTTCATTTCCAATAAATAAACAGAATGAGCTCTTAAATTATATTCAGAAAGAAAAAAAAAACTATTGCAACTTTGGCTTGGCACTCCAATGTAAAGGTTGCCACACAGGCAAGGATAAGCAGTTGTTTTATAAAATCCAAAAAGAATATTTCTGTATCTCCACCTCACTTGAAATTATCAGTTCATGAAAACCATTATTTCTACACCAACCATTCATGTCACTTAAACTACTGTATCAATATCAGTCTTCACAAACATTCCCTGTGCTCTAGACATTATATAATTAAATAAATTTAACTAACAGGATCGGTTTTTACCAATAGACAGATATTTTGCCATAAGCATAAAAAATGGGTGAAATGAAAAAATGTCATACTTTGGAATCCTCAATACCAAGATGACAGTGCAAAAGGGAGTTATTTACATAGAAGTTCAAAATATCAATGATAATGAAGATTTTCAACTCGCTAAATGATTCTGTACATGAAAGAGCCTTTGACAAAGTACCCTCTTGAATTAAAGCCATTTTAAGAAAATAATGAACTATTTACAAACTGTAATGTCTTCTTTTCCATAAAAAATTCTGACAGTGCATTCTCAACTTCTTCCATGTGATAATAAAACTTGCTTTCTCTTAGAATAATGCAGCAAACGGATCGATGTGCAGTCTGGGAGAATGAAAACTCATTGTGAAAGACATTTCAGTGTACAAATGCTGCCAGGCTTTGAGTAGCCATAATTGGAATGAGCATATAAAAGAGGAAACCGTCTTCTTTAAATCTCATCTCTCTTAAATGGCAAATGCTCTGATACTTCTACTGTGTTCTCTACTCGTGCAAAAAATGTCTTTCATGTTTCCACAACCAAGCTGATAAGAGATCTTTCTAGGTAATATGATTTAGGGAATTCCTTTTTGATGGGACTCGTTTTTTTTAAGATGCAGGACACCAGTTTAAGGTAACTGCTGCAGACGTGACCTTCAGCCTATCTCTCCCAACCATTTATAACGAAAACTGGGCAGCACAACTGTCAGGCAAACCAAACTGCCAAAAGAGATCATTTCCATGAAAAGTTTGTTCACCTGCTGGATATGAAAAATCCAATACAAAATGGTCTATATGAAGACAGGCAGGGATATGTCCCCATTTGTCCTAAACTGCACGTCCTGTTCCTCTTTCTCGCGAAGAGCACTACCGTTGATGACGGCCTCTATACTGCTCAGCCACTGCTTCTTGTCGTGCTCGTCGTTGGCTTGTAACGTATGCGCCTGACCCTTGGAGGGGTTTTTGAAGGACACCTTGAACACATGTTTGCCTGGGAGGAGAAGAACAAAGGGTGATCACACATGTCACAGAAATGAGTAACAGTTTCTACCACATCCAACTCTACATTGAGAATGGACTTTGTAATAATAATAATAGTTATGCTTACAAATTAGTTCACTTATGTTCTTGAAGCAGGTGGTAATTCTGATTAAAATGGTGACTCAACAGAAAACATTTAGTACTTAGATAATTTCTAAATCAACAGAATGGTTTTTAACTTTAAGTTAGTATGGCATGATATATATATATATATATATAT